AGAACATGAGAAATTAAGTCAAGTAACGGTTAGAAAATATACTATCAGAACATGAGAAATTAAGTCAAGTAACGGTTAGAAAATGTATTATTAGAACATGAGAAATTAAGTCAAGTAACGGTTAGAAAATATACTATCAGAACATGAGAAATTAAGTCAAGTAACGGTTAGAAAATATACTATCAGAACATGAGAAATTAAGTCAAGTAACGGTTAGAAAATGTATTATCAGAACATGATAAATTAAGACAAATAACGATTATAAAATATATTATCAGAACATGATAAATTAAGACAAATAACGATTATAAAATATATTATCAGAACATGAGAAATTAAGTCAAGTAACGGTTAGAAAATGTATTATCAGAACATGATAAATTAAGACAAGTAACGGTTATAAAATGTATTATCAGAACATGATAAATTAAGACAAATAACGATTATAAAATGTATTATCAGAACATGATAAATTAAAAAAAGAAATTCTATTACTTTAAGTAGCATCATCACCTGACTCAACTCTATATTGAATTCCCTATAAATCACCATTGGTGGTGAATGATTAAAAAAACAGCAATGATCTTTGTTTTTTGGAGAGCCAAAAACCTATTTTGTAAGGGAGGACCAGGTCCCCCATGGAAACCAATTTTTATATCAAGTAATATCAGTTCAGTTAGATGGTTGATAAGAAGTTCCACCCAATGGATCTTTATCTCTCAAGGTTAGGTTTTACTTTTAATTTTTTTTTACAAGCACACAGATATTTTTACTTTTTTCAGTTCAAGCTTTATCTAGTGTAAGGGGGACCAGGTCTCCCATGGAAACACACACAGATATTTGTACTTTTTTCAGTTCAAGCTTTACTTAATGTGAGTTAATGAGTTATAATGTTTCAACTTGCACCACCAGATGGTATAGAACCTTATAGAGTTCTAGGTGTAGATAGAGAACCTCAAACTCAAATTCAGAATGACAGATGTAGGTTCAAACTAACCCTCACCATAGTTAATATCAATTAACATATTTGGTGTTAACCTATTTTAATCTCCAAACACTGTGTGTGTGTGTGTGTGTTCAATCAAAAATATCAAGTTATTGCAGTTTGAAAACATAGTTGTTGTTGTTTTCTCCTAGACTCCTGCAAGGTTCCGAGAGCAGTAGAAAACCTTACAACTGAGTGTGCTGGATTCGCTAATGTAATTGATGAAGATGGTGCCTATTATGCTAAAGGTTGGAGAGGTAATTATACTGCTACTACACCCATTCCACCAGAGTACAAGTACTTGACTGCTTCACAGTTGAAAGGCTATCCTTTCTGGGGACTTATCAACACCTATGGCGGAGGGGGTTATATAGTGCCCCTCTTTGGTAAGAAGGACGATGTACTGGTGCTTATGGACAAGCTACAGAGAACTGGCTGGATAGGTCGTCATACCAGAGCTATTTTTATTGAGTTTGCAGTCTATAATGCCCAAGTCAACTTGTTCGCTGCAGTCACAATTGTTGCAGAGTTTGTCCCTGGTGGAGGAATATTCCCTTATTACCACATTGATCCCATGCGTCTCTTGTATTACCATGAAGGGTTTGGGCTCTTTATCATTATATGTGAAGTGATTTTCCTTATATTTGTCATTTACTTCACAGTCCGAGAAATTCGGGCCATCTCTCGTCAGAAGCTGCATTACTTCCATGACTACTGGAATGTGTTGGAGATAGTCTCTCTGCTTTTGTCATATACGGGAATTGTTCTTTACGTATACAGCAAAGTATTGATAGATCAGATTTTGAAAATTTTTACTGAGACTGAAGGATCAGGGTATGTCAAGTTTCAGGAGTCTGTCTTGGTAGACCAACTGTTCGGGTATATCATAGCTTTCCTTATGTTCATAGCTACCCTGAAATTTCTCAAACTCTTGCGTTTCAATAAGAGGATGGGAATCCTCTCTGCAACCTTACGTCAGTGTGGAGAGGAGTTGAAGAGCTACGGTGTCTGTTTGTTGGTTGTATTCTTGGCCTTTGTTGTCCTCTTCTGGCTTACACTCGGACGATACATGTGGCACTTTGCTTCGTTTGTCACTTCCTTTGAATCGTCCATCAGCATGATGCTGAGGAAGTTCCGTTATGAGGAAATGGCCACTGCTCAACCCATCCTGACCCCAATCATCTTCTTTACTTTCTCTCTGGCTACTTCTATCTTCCTCATCAACATTCTGCTGACACTTATCATCCAGACTTTTGAGAAAGTGAAACATGATGTCACTTTGCAAACTAATGAATACGAGCTTTTGAATTTCATCATGAGTCGCATGCGGATGTTTATAGGGGTAGGACCATCGAAAGTTGGACCAGAACCTCCTCCATTGAAAGAAGATAAAAAAGAAGAAAACAGCATGGACTCATTCCCACAAAAAGTGGACCAGTTTCTGCAGTATGTCAATGTCGTCTATTTTGACAATCAGTTAGACTTGAACGGCAAGGAATTCATGCGTAAAATGAGTAACGCAGAAGAACTGGAGCAAGAAGAGAGGAACAGGATTAAGAAGAAACCACCTGCTGTGGGAAATCTGAGCACGGGAGCTGATGTGGAAAATGTACTGGCTGATATTTAAAAATATAAATCTCTGATCTTAACTTCAAATTTTAAGTTATCCAAAAAATCTATCTTTCTTCAGTTTTCTTGTAGGTTATTAAAAGTTTATCCTTCTGTAGAAGTCTTGTGTATAATTTAAACATAGGGTTGAAGTTTGTTCCTGCTTCAGTGATTTAGCATACAGTTGTTTAGCACTGGTTTCACCAATGTAATATTCTAAAGAAATTCAGTTTCAAAACTATGCTCTAATGAAGCTGTTATATTGTGAAAGATATAGATACTTTTTGTGGTTGCCTTAAATAGAAGTGCCTTATATATATATATTTGTATCTAAACTGATAGTTGTTTCATGAAGAAAACTATAAACATTTTAAATCTTCAGTTACTGTTTTATTTATATCCTCCGTCTTCAGTTTCTGACCTTTCCAAATCGGAGGGAAAAAAACAGATGTTTTAGATTTTTGCTTGGTTCATTCTAAGATTCATCGGTTTTTGTCTTTATAATTTTTGTTCTCTGAAAATGATCAGAAAAAATCAAATGCTTTCACTGCAACTTGTAGGTTAGCACGGCTGGATTCACGAGCGTTATAGAGTTTCAAAAGAGTTTTATAAATGTTATGAAACAGAGATATTTAGAAAGTCGTTGATCCTAGTAGGTTTATATCACACGAAGTAATTATTCACAGAAAATGCATTTTTAAAAGATGTGGTACTGTAATCGAATAATGATTTAATTTTACGAGTGAAGCCTTTGCACGACATTTTGTTTCTATGACAACCATTGTGTGCATGTTTGAATATGTATTTCTGTGATATAACGGAAGTGTGGTTGTTACATTTAGTATAACATTGTGAGGTATTCTGTTAGTGTGGTTGTTACATTTAGTATAACATTGTGAGGTATTCTGTTAGTGTGGTTGTTACATTTAGTATAACATTGTGAGGTATTCTGTTAGTGTGGTTGTTACATTTAGTACATATGGTGAGATATTCTGTTAGTGTGGTTGTTACATTCAGTATCACATTGTGAGGTATTCTGTTAGTGTGGTTGTTACATTTAGCATAACATTGTGAGGTATTCTGTTAGTGTGGTTGTTACATTTAGTACACATGGGGAGGTATTCTGTTAGTGTGGTTGTTACATTTAGTACACATGGTGACATACTGTATCTTCCACGTGGTTGTTGTTCTACATCTTGGTTTATGATTATTTTGTACTTAGCTGTCTCGTCATGTTTGAACTGGAGGTAAGGTGTGAAGGTATTGTGGAAGTATAACCAAGTTCTTCTATCTGAAAGATAGTACACTTGTTTTTGTATTTTTCAGTAAAGATTCCTAAAAATGTTGAATATCAAACCGAAAATGCAAAATTCTCAGCTGAAACTAAACGCACTTAATTGTTTCCTTAGATGCTTTATTTCAACAATACAGTAAGTGTAGGAAACTACACAGAGCTACATAGAGGTATTCTGTTAACAATGTTATAC